GAGTGCTTTTTCAGCTTCAATGGTTTGTTGTCCTGATGGTGCACTTGAAATTAATATACTCAATTGTTATTTTTAGCCTTGGTAATGCTTTTCTTTACTATTAGAGGTATGTCGTCTAGAGCCCATGCGTCTACTTAGAGCTGCTGCATAACACAGTGCACTGAAGAGAAGAAAGGAGCTTCTGCAAGGTTTGGAGAGGAGACAACTTTTGACTTGGGATATTTTGCAAGGGACTTTGTGGTTGGTTTGGTTTTCTTTCCCTATACCATTTCTTCTTCCTCTCTGATTATGGTACAAAACTTTGCCCTAGTTTTGTACCATAGATGAAGTCTCATGTCATAAACTCCTAGTTAGCTCCTAAATGAAAATCACGGTGACCAGGGCTAATCTCCTTAAAGCTAATGGCCCTGAGATCAGCAGGGCTTCACCCCTATGTACACATTGGACTTCCCAACAAAGTCCATGGTGATTTTGCCTGAGCACAGAGACTGGCATTTGATCCCAAGACCTCTAAACCTTGCACCTATACCCTGAATGGGTTGGCACAGTGACGCAAGGTAATGGAACAGTTTTGGTTAACTCAGCTTCTGTTCGCTTCTTTACCAAAATGATATGTACATTCTTCTAAGGTTTACCTGAGTCATGCTGGACATGTTCGCATATACCCTGAAATTCCATAATATAAATACAAGTGCTAATACATTGCGTGGTGGTCGAGAACCACCTCCTGAGATAGCAAGTCAACTTGGGTTGTGTCTGGATTAAAAACTGTAGTTTGTTCATTTGTCTTCTTGAAATAAACATAAACATCAAAAGACTTCATCCTTTCTTGAAAAAGCAGGAACATAAAATGGCTGTTTGGCGGTTTATATTCTTTCTAACAATTTCATACTTCGGATGGTTACCACCCACCGATTCTCACCACTCCCAGGAATAAGTCATTCCTGAAAGAAAATGGGGAATTGCCTTCTGCTGATGTTCTTTCTCCTTCCTGTTTAATTTAATCTACCAAACAAGGAAAACTCAATTATAAAGTTGTCAAAAAGCATATGTTTTGGGGTCTCTTATATTAAATAGGAGGCTTGGGAAACTATTTTCATTGACACTTCAGATGTTAAGTAATTTGAAAAATCTGTAACTATACACAATGTGAAGAAAGTCCTCTATGGACGAAACCAAATTTCTAATTAAAGAAATCTATTCCTCACTTACCATTTTCATGTATTTTTTTAAAAAAACCCATAATTTTATTTCAGAGAAATGACTGTCCATTGGCCATACTCCAGAAGAAGAATTTGCTATTGGTTTGCATTTGCTTCTGCTAGGCTAACTCACTAGCACACTCCCAGTGAACTGTTTTAACTGACAATTGGAACTCAGCTCTCAAGTGGGAGCGAGGGAGGGCTGTGCACAGATGGGGAAGGGGAGATGCAAAAACAAAAGCCTTTCCTGGTGACAATCTGTCTTCTATAAATCTGAGGACAGAGGAAATGAATGTCTTTGGTCTCTCTAATTCAGATCACTTGAGGTGCCTTAACCACTTGAGAGATTCTGGGATGGCTAACAGCCTTAGTGTGTGCCAACCCTTCCACTACCACCCTATTGAACTAGGGCCCCCAAACGCTGGAAGAGCTGAGCTATGGCTATCAGCGGGTGAGAAGTCTTCTCCTTTGGGAGAAAACAAGTATTCAGGATATGAGCCATTAAAGCTCAAGACTTAGGAAGGGGGTGAAAAGGTAAAAAACCTGGCAAAATAAATATAAGTAACTAACCCAAAAGATAGTCATTCCTTAATAGGCAGTTTTGTTAAGTGCACCTTCAGGTCTACAAAAGCATTTCAGCACATTACAGTGCAGGGGTGAGAGCATTGTGAAACTTCGCATGCCCATGCGACACAGACAGTCCCTGTACTCCATTCTTACTGACTTGGTTGCAGTGCGCTACAGATGAATAAGCAGCATTCATTTTCCCCACACCACCCAAATTCAGAGCGACAGTTTACCCCCAATCCCAGGCCGACAGGTTCACTGCATGCAGCATTTTCTCCTGTAACACATGCAGAAGAATCACCAGTCCAGCATCTAACTATGAGAGGTATACCAGGTAGCCAAAGTTCATCTCATCAGTCTTGGTCCGGTTTTCTTAACCTCTGACCCATCCATCCCACAGTACTGAGAGGATTATTGCTGTTGACAGAATGCAGCGTTTCAAGCTCGGTGTGTCCTAGACCTCAGAGTCTAACTAAAAGATCAAGATATCCCCAGAAATTTGGGGGAGGTTGCATTTCTTTCCCAGCTGGGGACTTAGAAGCAGGTAGGAAAGGAATAGCCAAGATGAGCCAAGGTTCAGAAGAGAAGGAAACATCGCAGGGCAGGGTGTATACCCTGGGGTCAGATGCGTGCGGTCCTTGGCCCCTCGTCTTCCATGATGTTACATTAGTCTTACAGATTCACGGAGCAGCCCAGGAAAATAAAATATCCGCGTTCTTTCTTTCAACCGAGCGAGCCAGCCTGGGTGGTACGCTAGTTTCTTCGTTTATTGCCTCACTGTTAGTTCTAAGATAGGGTGGGGGAAAGGATGGGGGTAATGGGGAAGATTTCCAGAAGAGGCAGGGCAGGAAGGTAAGGCGGTCAGCAACAGGCGGCCACAATGCTAAGTGCAGAATGAAGATCCCCACTCGGTGTCCTTAAAAAGGCCGTGAGTGCCTCTCCACGGGTGACAGCTGCTGGGCCCCCGGGGCCTGCATTATGTGGCTCTCTTTCAGGCAGGCACAGGGTCCCAGCTGTTCTCTGGGCTGGGTGCTGGGAGATGCTCGGCCTGTGAAGTGACTGCCAGGTGGGAGGATCATAGGAAATATCTGGAGGGAGTGGGCCGGGAGAGCGGGCCTAGGAAACGGTGGGATGAACGGAGTGTTGCCGTGTGCACAATGATGCCTAGAAAGATCAGACTATCAGAGATCTGCAAAGCGCCGTTGCTAACAGAGGAGGAATCGGGAAATGCACAAAAACACTACACTGGATCTGAGGAAGCCCTGAATGTCCAGAATGGCCCTTGATGGGAAACAAATTCCCAGAAAGTTTATCTTGGCTTCTGGTGGAGAAGAGAAAAACAAAAACAAGTTCATGGTTCGTGTCCAGTTTGAAGCTGGGTCTCAGGGTCCCAGTTTACATCCCACATCAGGCTGCCAAAGGGACTCAGTCCAGTGGATGGCCAGAGAAACAGACCCTCCTGGATCTCTCCTCTCCAGGGTTCAGGATGGTGTGGTCTTTTCACAGTGGTGGAATGAGACAGCGAGGATGGAAAAGGAAAATGCAAAATATCTGTGCCCCAACCCTTCCTCCCTTTGTTACATAACTTCTCAGCTGTGTTAATGGAGGCACTTTCTGCAGTTCACTGTGGGTACAGGATAAAGGCACTAAGCAACTATTAAATCAATTGGTTAAGTTTCTTCAGAGCGACTCAAGGGAAGGGCCGAAGTCTCTACAGACTTCAAATCATGACTGCAAAAAGAAACCAGCTCTGCTTTGGATGCATACAATAGACAAACATTTTCATTTACATCTTAAGAATGCACCAGAAACATGCAGTATTGCACCTTTTTTTGTTTGTTTGTTTTGTTTGTGTTTATCTTTAGCTAGAAATAATACTTGTTCTTAGGTGTTGCTATATATACCTTGGTGACTTATTTAGTTTTCCATATAGCTTCCCTTTAAGGAATGGGCATATTGGTTCTCTCTCTGCCTACACCTGCACAGAAACCTGACATTTCCCTGAGCAAAGGCAGGAAAATTGACTGAATACCCCCCACCCCCACCCCCATTATTTCTTTGGGCCCTTCATCCCACAAGCTTGTAATTTTTATTATTTTTTAATTTTTTTTTACTAAAATCATGCATTAATTAATTTAAGGTACACCTTAATCAAATAGGCCATAATGCTGAATAAGAGAACATGCTTTGAACTCCAAAAAGTTATTGTTCCCATCTGACTAACATATGCACTTAAATACAGTACTTTATTTACTGATAAAATAGTTAATAAATAAAGGAGTGCACTTTTGGTGAATGCAAATGAAAAAGGATCTATTTTTAGAAGAGTCAATTAAACGTAAGCTTATCCCCTATTGTCTGAGTTAACGTTCTCGGCATGCGATTATAAAATAAATGTTATCAGAATCAAACATGCTTACATGTAACTCCATTTGTGCTCTCTTGAAATAAGGAGGCTAAGGTTTCGCATCCAGTTCTGGAGGCCAGGGGCCAGGGTACAGGACGGGCGAGACAAGACCTGTGTTGGGCTCACCTGCAGTTGAGAAACTTAGCAGCACTGCAGATGAATCAATTGATTTTATCTTTTTCTTAGAGAACAATTTGAACAGAAGGAGAATGGGACAAAAGGAGAATCTCTAAAGACCAGTACCAGCATCGGATTGATAAGGTGCTTTGTGAACCAGTCTTAAGTAATTTTGTTTTGGTTTGGTTTTTTTTCCACCTTATAATATGCAGTTCAGTGGATCGAAATAACATCTGTTCATTGCCCATTTTGGCCGGTATATCATGTTACATATCATCAGATGCACTGTCTTAAAAGTGCTGTGCAGTTTGCGAAGATTTTTTTATTGGAGTCCCATGCAACTTTTAATTTTCTGTTTCTAAGTGATAATCTGGTTTTTAGTTAAAAGAAAAAAGTTAAAGAAGCACAAGGATTACAAATGTTTTAGTATGGGGAAGCATATGAATCTTATTTTACCTAGACTAGCTTATGGACTGAGTTGTTTTTCTTTAACCAGTTTTTATAAAATACGCTTTCCTTTTCCATTTTTAATAAAATGAAAATAGTTTCTTTTTTTTTTTTTTTTTTTTTCATGGATCTTGAAAGCTTCTGGTTGGCCATCCCCCAAATCCACAATGCAACAATGCATTGACAGTTAAACAGAGCATTCAAAGACTAGCAAAGTAGCAACAAAGAGTGACAGGGGTCACCAGGGTTTTTGTTCTGTTTTTAAGTCTTTCAAGCTGCTAAGTGGGGCTTTTTTTTTTGTTCGCTTGGCTTTTTAAACATCGGTCAGGAGCTTGCTCTTATTAACGCAGTTTTGGTTAGCTGTGGTGCAATTGCCAGTTCTGATATTGGCCTGTCTATAATGGGCTATGCTATTATTCATATCCTCTTCGATCTCCATGTACTCGGATTTGCTGAGGGTGGAGGAACTGCGCCGACTGAGGTCACTGTCAGAGGCTAAATTAGGGGAGCTAACGTGGAGCAGCTGAGCCTGCTCTTCCCCCTCAGTTTCTCGGTGGTAGAAATAGTTGAAATTGGACACAATGACAGGTACGGGCAGGGCAATTGTCAGCACACCAGCGATGGCACACAAGGAGCCCACGATCTTGCCTCCAATTGTCACAGGGTACATGTCACCATATCCCACGGTGGTCATGGACACCACCGCCCACCAGAAAGCATCGGGGATGCTGGAGAAGTGCGACTCAGCTTCTTCCGCCTCGGCAAAGTACACTGCGCTAGAAAACAGTATGACCCCAATGAAGAGGAAAAAGATGAGCAGCCCTAGCTCCCTCATACTGGCCTTGAGGGTCTGGCCCAGGATCTGGAGGCCCTTAGAGTGGCGGGAGAGTTTGAAGATTCTAAAAACCCTTACCAGGCGGATGACCCTGAGGATGGCCAGCGAGGTGGCCTGCTCGCCCTTCTGGTTGCCCTCCTGCTCAGCTATCTCGGTGCCCAGGGTGATGAAGTAGGGGATGATGGCCACGATGTCGATGAAGTTCATGATGTTTTTGAAGAAGTCCGCCTTGCTGGGGCAGGCGAAGAAGCGCACCACCAGCTCGAAGGAGAACCAGATGATGCACAGCGTCTCCACGATGAAGAAGGGGTCCGTGAAGATGTTGGACGTGTAGACCACCGTGGTGTTGTCGATGCGGTGGACGGTGCCCGTGAAGTCCTTGTCGTCCTTCAGCTCGGGCAGGGTCTCCAGGCAGAAGATGACGATGGAGATGAGGATGACCATGACCGAGACGATGGCGATGACCCGCGCGGCCCCCGAGCTCTCGGGGTACTCGAAGAGCAGCCACACCTGGCGCTGGTACTCCTTCTCCGGCAGGGGGCGCTCCTCCTCCTTGATGAAGCCCTCGTCCTCCCGGAACTTCTCCATGGCCTCCTCGCCCAGCTCGTAGAATTTGATCTCCTCGGAGAACATGTCCAGGGGCACGTTGACCGGCCTGCGCAGCCGGCCCCCCGACTGGTAGTAGTAGAGGATGGCGTCGAAGCTGGGCCGGTTGCGGTCGAAGAAGTACTCGTTCCGCAGGGGGTCGAAGTAGCGCATGCGTTTCTTGGGGTTGCCCAGCAGCGTGTTGGGGAACTGCGCCAGGGTCTTGAGCTGCGTCTCGAAGCGCAGCCCGGAGATGTTGATCACCACGCGTTCGCAGCACTCGTGGTCCTCGTGCTCAGCCGGCCGGGGGTAGCTGCCCTCCTGCGGGTGGCCCGGGGTGGCCGACGCCTCGTCCGCGTTCTCCCCGGACATCACCGTCATGGTGGCAGCCGGGCGCGGGGCGCAGAGACCGGGAGAGAGCCCGCGGCGGGGAGCACGGGGCGAGGAGGGGTGGGGGGGACCCAGGCGCCCCCCCCACCAGAGTGCGCGGCTCCCCCACGCTCAGGGGAGAGGGACTTTGAAAGAGAGCAGGTCCAGGGATCTGCGACTTTGTTTCAGGTTCCCTTTCCCTCCACCCCGCCTTTGGCTGAGTTTGGAACACCCCCTCCTCGCCTGCAGCCTCGGGGGGCGGGGGGGGCAGCTTTTTTGGCGGAGGGTTGGGACGCGGGGAGGGCCGGTGTTTGGACGCGCTGCGAGGGGCCTTAACGCAGTGCTGCCCTAGAGGGCCGGGCCATNGCCCCTCCCCTCCGAGAGCCCCCCGCGGACCGGGTGCGGAGCCAGCCCGGCAGGCCCCCCCTCCTGACACCCTCTCTGCTTCTCCTCGGCTCTCCCCCCTCCTACCCCTCTTCGCCCGCCGCCTTCTAAGCTCCCACCGGGGCGATCGATGGACGCTGCAGAGAAATAGAAAGCGATACGGGAGTAGAAAATCAGAAGCATTCGGATTGGACGGACCTACAGACACCGAAGAGCACAGACCTCTGGCTTTTTTAGAAAGCCCTGGACTCTTGCTGGACAGACACACAGACAGACACACGCAGACACCCGGAAATCCAAGTTTGGGGCTCTTCCATCCCACTTTCCCGAATGCCCAGCAGCCGATCTGTTTACAACTTCGTTAAACTAGAGATCGGGAAACGCGCCGAGCGACGCCCGGGGAGCTCCAGGTCCCAGCAGCACCCCCACACCCCCAGCTTCCCCC